CCTCCCTCCTCCCCCCCATGGCAGTCCGTTAACCTCTGTTTTCACACCCACCATTTCTATCCCATCTCTCACACCTTCTCCTTCTCTCCCTTCCCCCCTCTCCCGCATCCTCCTCTCCATACCCTCCCGATCCGCCCACACATCATCCTCGAGCACACACACATACCACCTACCGCCACGCTGTGTTCCGCGCCGCGGCGCGTGAAGCGCCCGCGCGCGCGAACCGCTCCTCTGCACTACTGAGACTCTTCCTTTGTCTCCATTCCGCGTGGTCACTTGTCGATTTCGCCTCCGATACCCGCTTCCTCGCTCTCCTCTTTACATTATGTCCGTCTTCATGGATTCCTACGAGGCCGACATGAAAACTGCTATGGTACGTTTCATGTACAGTATTCCCTTCCGGCGCCACTACCCGTTCCCCGACTTGCCTCCCCCGTCTCCTTACATTCCTTTTGCATCTTGAAACAAACCCTCTGACACCGATGCAATCGATCCTATCCGCCTTCCCATATCCCCCCATTTTTTTTTCAAATTACTCTCATTTTTCAAAATACCCTCCATCCCTCTTGTCGCATTACTGTCACCCTCCAACACAATTCTCACCATTCTTTCCCCATTCCGATTTTTCACCGCCCCCTCTTCCCCTGCTTCTCTTATGCGAAGGTCACCGGCGCTACTGGCGTCCTAGGCCAGGCCACCGTACGAATGCTACTTGAAGATGGCTTCAGAGTTGTCATTCATGACAGTGACGAGCAGGCACTCACCGATTTACTCACGGATCTCGGTTCTCTAGTCAACGAGCATCAATGTTATCCGATATGCTTTGATCCTTGCAATGCAGACTCGGTCGCACAAGCCATGCAGCGAATCGCAGACGACTTTCCTCCCGTATACGTTCTCGTCAACAACAGTGGTATACTTTCCAAGACCGCTTCCGCCGGTATGTCAATTGAAGAGTGGCGAAATTGCTTCTCACAAAATGTCGATTCCGCCTTTCTCATCTCTCGGGCATTGCTGCCGAATATGAAAAAGCGAAAATGGGGTCGGATCGTCAACACCTGCTCCATCGCCGGAAAGACGGGTGGTCATACCACAGGGATCGCTTATTCTACCACAAAGGGAGCTTTGCAAACGTTCACTTTTGCCCTTGCCCGCGAGTGTGCCAAGGAGGGCATCACGGTCAACGGCATCGCCCCCGCCTACATTCGCACTCCAGGGGTCGAAGCCTACCCGAAGGAAATGGTTAAGATGCTGTTGGAATACATCCCGGTTGGCCGTTTCTGCGAGCCCGCCGAGTTCGCGCACACCGTCAAATTTTTGATATCGCCGCTGTCCGGCTTCATTTGTGGCGAAATAATAGATCAGAATGGCGGTTTGTTAATGAGTTAGACTTTTTGACTTTTCCTAACTGTGGCTTGCTTTGCAACTGACGCTCTCTTCGCAGGACCGTCGCTGTCCTCTTAAAGCATGGGAGGTCTAGCGCCAAGCACAGGGGGGAGATTGCCCCAAGCATGTAAGTACGCTTCAAGGACGATGGACAGATTATCGTCAAGCTATACGTCTCAAGCATTTTCCGAGAGTAAATGATGTATATGTATAACACGCTCACCGCTCATCGCGATCAAGCAACTTTACCAGGCGTACCGCAATATGCCACCCAGCTCATCTTCCAATAGATCTCCAGGAAACATTGCCTGCTCCTCTACCCTTATAAGTTTGAAAGTCGTCACGTTCAGATCTTTTGCTTTTTCGTGTAGTTGTTCTTGTCATCAGTCCCCCCTCTTCGAACGTTATCAACGGCCCCTGCACCGCTACACACCGTACATGTTAGCGTCGTCTTACCACTACACATGAAACAGGTCCCCAGGGCATCCTTCCCTGTTCCCTTGCACGCATCACAATCGCACGTCCCCGAACCGCTACAAAAAACGCACTCGAGCAAGTCGCCCCTTCCGCCGCTGCCCGGCACGGCAACAAACGGCTTCCATAGCTGCTCGCGCAACTTGCCGAACAGGCCTTTCTTCGACTTGCCTTTGCACATAAACGTGCGTGCTATGGGACGCGATTGAGCCGCGATCGGTGGTGATGGGGGTTGACCAAGTGTGCGCGTGCCGGGGAAGGCGGAAACAAAGGCGGGGCCGGCACATATGGTCGCGTGAGGGCGGTAAGTCAGTCGGGGATTGTCTGCTGGCATGATGAGATTGTTCAGTGCGTGCGTTGGTTGACCGGGCGGGCGTCGATGTACCTTGTCTTTCAGCGGGGGCTATCTTTTTCACTTGGTCTATACACAAGCTACGGTTTTCGAAGCTCCATTTTCGTATTGTCTCGAGAAGGATTTGGAAAAAACCCAACATGCAGGTCAACCTATCTAAACCGTCATCATTCAAAGGCAAAAAAACAACAACAAAAAGAATCTCAGTTGCCAGGGCTGGGATGTGATCTCGAGGGATGCCCTTAGGAGCACAAGTGGCAACGTGTATCTCAGCAAGCTCCCGCAAGGATGTTGTTGTCCAGAGAATTACGGTAGTGAGCGATGCGGCGTCATTTTCATCATTTCAGAGAAGAATCTGCCAGATATTGTGCTCTGCAGATGACTATTTTCTATTTCTCAACGTCTTCAGAGGATGCTTCTCGTATTTCCCAATGTGGACAAGTGCGATAAACGGCAGTGTGGTTCATTGGCAGGCCTTTTAACTGAACATATTCCCACTCCTCACGGGCTTACAACTCCACGAGGGCGGCAGATCCCGTTGCCACCAGTGTCAGAACGTGACCATCGATATCCGTTTACGCTATCGTCTTCACAAAAGAACTATCCAGCAAACATAAGCGCGCTCGTTCGCAACTGTATGCGTACATCGTCTAGTACCCCGGAAGAGCAAAATTGCGCAAGAATCTATCACGGAGAAAGTGTAGGGGAGTCTCCGTCATAAATTCTTGTAATCGGCTGCTCAAACAAGAACCCGTCCCTGTCTGAACTTTCCCATACCTCAAATATGTCGACAACCGCGTCCTTCGTCTCTCCTTCTCACTCGACAATCACATCACGCGAATCAACTAAAACATCCCGGCGACCTTCTCCAAAATGGACCTGCCGGAAAGGAAGGGCAAGAGCCACAAATTCCAAAGGTCGCAGTCGCGCTTCAAAGCGTTCTGCACTGTACGACTCCATGAAGACTTATCGCGATCATTTTCAACCTCTGTTGGAAGAAGAACTGCACGCAGAGCAACTCATCGTGCTTGAACGGCGAAACTCAGGTAGTTCTGGGAACCATCGCAAATCTGCACAGTATACACTACACGGTCTTGTCGCGACGAAGAAGAAGAGATTGTTTTCTCTCAGCGTTTACAGTCTGGCGCTCAAGCCTGCGAGTGCGGGCCTTTCACAGACTGTTGAGTTTTCGAAAGGTGATTTGGTGAGATTATCTTCCAATCGATCTGACGCTGATGCGTTTGTTGAAAGTACCGTTCTAGCGAAGCGTCCTGGTTCCTTGCTGGTGACTGTGCCCATCGGTTCGGATGGCGCTGCGCAGATGGATAGTTTTGTTGATCAGCGTGAGCCCTTGAAGGCGGAATGTGGCACTAGTACCGTTGCTTATGAAAGAGCATTAGACGCACTCACAAGTTTCACAGCTGAGGGACCGGGCACCACGGACATGGCGAAACTTATAGTTATATCTCTAACTGAGACAAGTAATGTTGGTATTAAGACAGTGAGTAGCGACGGAGGCTTCCTGAATTTACCGCTGTACGTGGAAGACGAACCTCGCGATCTCAACCGGAACTCGGAGGATGGTGAAAGCGAGTTACAAAAGAAGTGGCAGAGTTATTGCAAAGAAACAGTCTCCAGAATATCACCACAAGACCTATCTGAGGTCATGCCAAAACTATCTCATTCCCTCAACTCAAGTCAGATCAGTGCAATTAAAACGGCTTTACGGCGCAGGCTGTCCCTCATCCAAGGGCCGCCAGGTACTGGAAAGACTGTCACAGCTGCCCACATGATATCGTGTGTCGTCAGACTAGGATTTGGACCGGTGCTAGCTTGCGCCGCGAGCAATGTCGCCGTAGACAACTTAATGCAAAAGATAATCTCCGTATCAGCAGCAAGTTTGCGAATCGTTCGTATCGGCCGCGTTCCGGCGATCGGAGAGGAGTTGTGGGATAAAACTCTCGAGAGTTACTTAGAAAAGGATTTGAGAGTGCGAAAGGCCAGAAATGAGTGTGCAGCCGGCAGAATGAAGGTTTCAGGGTTGCTTGACGTCGAAAAAGCCGCCGTTCGGCAAGTGTTGAAAAAAGCACATGTCGTGGTAGGAACTTGCGTTGCATGTGGCCGCCATGACCTCGAAGGATTGAACTTTCGGTATGTCGTAGTTGACGAGGCTACACAAGCCTCTGAACCCGACGTACTTATTCCGCTTTCGATTACAGTCAAAAGTGGCAAACAAGTTCAGCTAGTACTTGTTGGAGATCAGAACCAGCTCCCGCCAACGATTCTAAGCCGCAACTCCCATCATGCTGATGGGGCCGGTCTTGAAACTAGCCTTTTCGTCCGGCTTTGGCGGCAAGGCATTGAGACACAGCTCTTGAATGTGCAATACCGCATGCATCCGCAAATATCGGCGTTCCCTTCTAAGCACTTTTACTTCAATAGATTGCGGGATGGGATATCTCCTGAAGACAGAGTTATTCCAAATTTCCACTTCGTTGCAAAGCGTTACACCGTTTTGACACAGTCGAGGGCTATTTTTGTGCATGTCTCAGACGGCAAGGAAGAGAAGGACCTGCAGACTACGGACATCAACAACACCACTAACGCCGGACATTCCTATTGGAACAGGACCGAGGCTCATGTTGTAATGCAAGTTGTGCGCGAGCTTGTTGGCGCCGAAGAGGGAAGCAGCATTACATCGTCGCGAGCATTTTCGTTGTCCGATATTGGATTGATCTCACCGTATGCGGGGCAAGTACGAATTTTAAAAGAGTTAGTCGCCCGCCAGTGGGGTGCATCCTCCATCGAAGTATCGACTGTTGACGGTTTTCAGGGTCGCGAGAAGCGCGTTATTTTGCTTTCCAGTGTGAGAAGCAATGATAAGAGTAGCGTTGGCTTCCTGCGAGATTGGCGAAGACTAAACGTAGCCATTACGAGAGCAAAAGCTCTGCTGGTGGTTGTTGGCAATGAAAGCACGCTATCTACGAACACACATTGGAGATCATGGATTAAATGGGTGAAGCGACACGGAGCAACGATGTGTGTCCCTATTTCAGAATCTGGAAAAACGGCAGACGTAGGACAGTCACCTGAAGCTTGAATTCGAGGCACTTCGCGCCCCTCGCGGTAACCATCGCATTAACTTCTTGAGAGCGTCACTAAGGAAAACTGTCGATATTCGTACTTGGAAGTAAATATGTTTAGACAGACTATTTAACGTCAACGGTGAAGGCTCATTTTGAAAGGTTCGTGCGTCGAGACATCAAACCACTCTACATAGTCGCGGACGCCCGTTGCTGATAAACCTGACCGACGTCGGCATAGATAGCAGCCGAACGAAGGACGTTCGGACATATTTTACCGAACAGCTATGGAATGCTTATTGTGATGTTGGGATTCGGAAGTCGACGAACTAAAGATCCGACCCATACGACTTGTTGAACTAAGAGCGGAGCTTGTTCGTTTCCGGTAAAGGTTCCTAGCGCTCTTCGTCGTCGGTCGCAAGGAACTCTGCCGTGACGCCTTCGACTCAGATCGCACTCTCATGACATCTCTACATTCGCTGGTAGCTAAACTTAATCCTATCTTCCTCCCCTCGTTTCCCCGACAGAACTCGCTGATAGTTGGCTCAGCTCGACCATTTCCGAATACCATATTCGATGTGCAGTCAATGTCAAATGCCAAAGTACCAGTGGCGTATCTTTCGAAGGCTGACCACATACTAGCGGTGCCAAGTACCTCCATCAAAGCGCGTCTGCTTGGTCGGCTTGAATACTCAGGGTCCTTTGTCTGCCCGGCAAAGGCACTTTCAAACGATCGCAGATCTCTCTCAGATATGACGGGGGTTGCTTGCATAAGTGAATGAACAATCAGGATAGCTGCGCAATCCCTTCTTACAAGTGGAAATCCTATCGTTCTTGATGACCAATTCTTGGCTGGATCAAGGTCGTATCGCTCCATAGCACTCCTAACTCGGCTTGCATCAGAGGCGGCAACCAACTCTGCTGGAGAAGCCCCATATTTGCAAGCCAGGAATGCAGCATGGGCGGACATGATACTTAGCGAATCGTACTGCCTTTGGCTGTACACTGAAGTAATAGAATGTCCATTGTGCACACCCTGCTTTTGAAAGCTCTTTGAATGCTCAGAATCGACGATTCGTTGCCTCTCCTTGCCAGACGATAATACATAACACAAGAGGAATTTGAGCCGCCTAGGAACCTCTTTTTCAGAAAATAGTAATTCTTTTGCTCCGAAAAGGAACGCCCGTCGCACACTTTCTCTTTCCATCGCCGCGGTCGAAAAATAGAAGGGATGGAAACCAAAAAGAGAGCAAATCTCATCATTGATGTCGAAAAGACGACCAGACGGTGGTACGCCAGCAGTTTTCATCCATGACTCAGTTATTCTATTCACATCGGTCACAGTTTTCGGGCCCATGATGGAGGCTGCAAAGAATTGTGAGACTCTGCGGATTCCTCTATGTCTCGAGCGTGATCGGTCTCGATGATGTCGATCATAGTGCCTGTTCAAGCTGAGCCGTTCTCGCTTTGGTCGGTACTTGGAACTGAAGCCTGAGGGAGCAGTGCTGAGCCCAAAGTCGCCCATTTCATCGTCAAGAAAGCCGACATTCACGGGGGCACCGCTGGACTTCCAAGGCAAGCAATCCAAATTCTTGGTGGCATAAGTTATCGAGCCATGAGGTAATGCCATATCTACGGTGCTCGTGAGGCATGCCAAAAAGGCCGCATACGATGATGCGCTGGACACAAGCCGTTCTAACCGACCATCCGACTCGGCATCACCATTGATCACTCTTCGGCGAGTAGATTCAGAAACTACAGCGTTCGCACCTGATAGTTCCTGTGCAAAGTCAAGGGCCGCGATTTCTTTGTCAGTAAGGTGTCGTCCCTCAAGTACAATGGCTGGGAGAATCCCCTCAGTCGGTGGTCGTGATCTCATGATGCTTTTGAGTTGAGCGGCATATGTCATGACGAACACACTGTGATGTGCGTTTCCGGCGACGTACATGACAGCCGAACGAAGAGCCGGTGACAATGGGAAGTGTTTTTGGTCAATCTCCACAATAGAAAGCAGAGCAGAAGCAAGTACAGCATTTGCTCTCGCCAGGGGCTTGTAGGCAAATAGATATCTGTTGAGATCAAACGAATCCAATGTTGACTTTCTCATGAGACTCGTATGTGCTTTGAAAGCTGTGTCGACACTTTCGGGTTGACATCCCACTGGAACGGCGGCGCTGCGAAGAAAGTCTGTGACGGAGGCGCAATTCTTATGCAGCATTGCTGGCCTGGGTGCGGGACTTAGTGGACGGACTGGTCTCCTCTTTCTGCTGCTATCGGAGGTCATCATGCGTTTGGGTGGTGGACCTTTCTCCCTTTTCACGTTCTTGGAGCTAGCTAATGAAGTGGCGGCACTCGGGGTGGCTGTGGAAAAGTTACTGCTGCCGACATGGTCTGTATCTTTGTCAAGCTTTCCTGGAGCTACACAAGCAGCTGCAGCAGCTGGCAGATGGGCGAGTTCCTCCATCACAGATAAGCGAGTGCGGATGCGAGGCCACGGACGGGGGATATGATCGGAAGTGTCTGAGAGTCGGGCAGAGCCTTTGGTTCGACGACGCTGACGGAAAGATACGCGGGGAATGGTAGCAGTGGTTGTGGATTGGTCGGTTGTTCCTTGGCTGCGCGAGCTAAGGGAGGAGCCGAGTAAAGCGGGAGGATCCATGGGTGTGGACCGAAAGAAAAGAAGGGCAAGTGTAGATAATTGTGGAGGGAAAAAAAGAAATACGCGCTACGGAGGGCGAAACGGAAGAGAGTAGTCTGTACGAATGTCCAACAGATGTAGGAGGAGATGGAGTGCGATGGAAGGGGCGGTACTAGCGATACAGTATTCAATAAACGGAGTGGGAAGCGATAGGGACGGAGGTGAGACAGTTGCAGGCGGGATGTGTCGAAAATGTTTATGAGGCGGCGGGGGGCCTTGAGGTGGGAGTGGGGCAGGGAGGGAGCGGGGCTGTGCTGTTTAGAATGGAAAACAGTTTGTAAGTAGGGCGGGACGCATGGTTGGGCTGAATCGAGTGGGCATAACGGGGTCATGTTTGAGATGTATGGATTTGGGTGGGTAGGCGGGGGGCGACTTTGTTGGCGCGGTAGACGAGGGAGGCCGAGGGAGGGAGAGCGGATACTGTAAAAGTGGGGGGAGACCCAAGAGAGAGCATCCGTTTTGGTAGGAGGTGCAACACTGCACAACGTGGCTTCCCGCGCCAGCGGCAGCGTTCTGTGCTGCGTGGAGCTATTTTGCTGTCTTCAGGTTCATTTAAAGACCGCCCAATCGCGAGTCCGTAACCGCTACCGGGGATGGCTCCTGTCCCGCTCTCTCCATTTAAAAAATTAAATTAACCCATGGATGCGCCGTTTGGAGGTCACCGTCGTCTCTCTGCCCCGTTTCCTCACTTTTTTTCTGGATTCCCCGTCAGCCTTTTTAGACGCCCATAGATTAAGGTTCTTGTCCTGCTTGATTGACCTGAATCTACATTAACCTTTCATTTTCTTCGGCATATTAAAACCATAAATGTAACATTGATTTCAGATCCACCCTCTGCCACGTGCCAATTTTTATTAGTCTCGAGGTTTTCCTTGTAATCACATTCGAGGTCATCCACGGCGCTTCCCTCGCATGCCATATTTCATTACTTTTTATACTAATTTTTCCTCCCTCCAACCACCATGCCCGATCGGTCAGATCAAAATCTTTCAAATATATTTCTCAATGTTTACAGACTCAGCTGGGTAATGACATTACTACGGGCCCCTTCTCATGGTACAGAACACTTACAGTGTCAGAGTGCTTGCATACTCCCATAATAATAAAAATCTCAATCCAGTTGTTACCAACCGGGGGACTCCACTCTAACCAAAAAGAGACGCCGGCCCTGTACAACTTGTAGTCAAATGCTCTCTGCCCCTCAGTGCGTGCTTCGTAACTATAATCGTAGCAGTCTGCGTATTGCCCCTGCGCATACTCCCCCGCTCTCTGTGCTCCCGCCATCTTCTTCGCTCGCACGCTAATTCGCCGTCTCTCCTGGCACTGCACCTGTTCGCCAAATCGCGTCCACCTTATAACGTTCCAGGTAGATACTATTACCCCTTCTCTCCTGGCTTCGTAACTCTTCGTCTTTTTTTAGTTTTCTGTCTTTTTTTGGTTTCCACTTCTCACACCCTCAACAAAAATCTTTCTTCATTATATAGGCAGCCCCAACTGCATCGCATCCACAAAAATATTTCTTCTTCTCTCGTATCCCCCGCTATACCCAAATAAATCGTTCGACCAGCGATAGCTTTCACTCTGCCTGTATCTTCGTCTACCTCTCTCTCCCTCTCCCCCCCCCCCCCCCCCCCCCCCCCCCCC